CCATCCCCCCTGGTGGGTGATTTCTCGCTTTCTGTCTCTCTGTCTCTCTCTGTCTGTCTGGCGAGCACATGCACCCTATAGCAAAAACCTCTCCAAAAAAAAAAAAGACAAGTGTTGGTGAGACTATGGTGAAAACGAAACTTACACTGTTGGTGGGAATGTAAATGAGCCCAAATTCTGTGAAAAACAACATAGATGTTTCTCAAAAATCTACAAATAGAACTTCCATATGACCCAGTACTCTCACTGCTTGGTATTTACCCAAAGGATGGGAAAACTCAATCAGAAAAACATCCGCACTATTTATAATTGCTAAAACATGGAACCAAGCTAAATGCCCAAAAACTGATAACTAGGTTGAAAAACTGTGGCACATATATATTATGGATATTACTCAGCCTTAAGAAACAATGAGATCCTATCACTTGACTCTAAATGAACGAATATAGAAGACTTAATGTCGAGTGAAGTGAGTCAGACTTTGAAAGATACACATTGTATATCCCCACTCAATTAGTACTGAGTGCTATGGCCGAGGTTGAGAGACTTGAAAACGTAATGGTGGATAGAATGGGTATATATGCTAGAGACTGTAAGAGAGGAGAGAGGGTGGTGGAGGGTGAGTGTGAGGTACAAGAGGAGGAAACAGTTGACAGTGGAAAAAAACGTAAAAAAGGAAAGAAAAATAGAACATGTTCATTATGAAATTAACTAAATTCTGTTGTGTGGCAAGTTACTTCGCAAACTGGTTTATATATGTTCATTGGGATTAAAGTCTGTATGATGACATTTATATACATCCCAATAATTTCAAGGTAATTGTTTGTCATGTGTTTTTCATTTATATCTTTTATTATATCTTGATTGGATAATAAAAAAACTTTTTTTAATTAAAAAAAAAAGGAAATGGTGAGCCAGCCAGGTGGTGTGGCATTTAAGGCAGCTGGATCCCATGTGGCCAACTGTGCAGTTTGAATCCCGGACCTGTGCAGTTTGAAAAACACACCAGGCACCTGTGCATGTGTGCCCAAAACCTAAGAGGAGAATGGAGAAGGGATTGTGGTGTGGTCATCTCCCCTGGGTGGTGTTGGGGGGTGCTTTCTCACTTTCCCTCTCTCTCCACTGTTTCTCTCCAGTAAGTGTACGTACTCTGTAGCAAATTTTAAAAATAAATTAAAATGAAATTTAGAAAGGAAATGGCCAAACCACAGAGGGAATACACAGACAACTAAGGACTCTAAATACTGAACTGAAAACTTTCTTGGGCAGCACTTCTGGCAGTCACTGGGGAAGACACTCCAGGTTCTCTAGAGCAGGTGCAGACAGGAACTCCCCATCCTGCTACCCCCCAGCCAACTTTTAATTTGGATGACTCCCTATGACTGGCATTTCAGGAACCTCTCCATCTGTAGGTTAAGGATGCTGGAGAGATGGGAAGTCGTCCATTCTGAGCTCAGTTCTCCAGCACGCAGGTCAGAGGTTCACATGTCCACAGGCGCCTCCATGGCTGTGCCTCTAGCAATAGGGGTGTACCCCAAGAAGTAGACAAATGTTCTGAAAACCAAGCTCCAACTTCCCTTTAGCCTTCAGAACCTTCCGTAGCCAGTCAGCTCCTAGGAGCAAAAACAGGGGCCCAGGCACCCGGCTTTGCCCACGGTCACAATGAGGTGGGGACCCAGTCAGGCCTGGAACTAGAGATGAGCTCCGGGCTACCTGGGCGGGGAGGCTATGTCCCTGGATTGGCGCTCTCAGAACGAGGTGCCACCTTCGATTCAGGACAATTCTCAGCTCAGAAACCTGTGCTGAGAGGCCGCCCAGTTTGTCCAGACTGAACTGTCAGTGCCGAGGAGGTCCTTAGGGACACCTCTGGCAATCCGGCATTTCACAAGTGGGGAAATCGAGGCAAAGGAGGGACTTGTTCCAGATCAGAAGGCCAGCCGGTGGCAGAGCCAAAGGCCAAAGCCTGGCCCGGATGGCCTGCCCCCTTTCCTCCCTCCTGCGTCCCTCCGTGGAAAACCTGGGCAGGGCCAGGTGTGTCTTTAGCGATGTAGAAATCCGACGCCCAGAGTGAGGCGGCGGTGGGCAGGCGACTCAGCCCCTGGCGCGGGTCCTCGGCGCACCGCGACATCGCGACAGGGCAGGGCTGCCGGGTCACCTGCATCAGCTCGAAGATGTGGTTCGCCTCTCCGTACTGGGGCATTTCCGGGGGGATGAGGTGCGGAGCGGTGGTCGCGTCCATG